CTCTATTCCTTTAGCTGGCTGCATGCAGAAAGTGGCCCAACATTTGGGGACCCAGTCAGGCCACAGGAGGAAGGCAACTGGGCCCCCCCATTGGTGCTGAAAGGCAAGATGTTTCTTAATCAGCAACATCAGCTTTGAACTACAGTTCTGTGGTATCAGAGCCCTTGTTGGGCTCAAATCAAGGAGAAGGTCTACACGTTGTCTCAGCTAGCATTGCCCATGTTGATTTCCACCTTTCCCCAGCCCCAACTCACCTCTTCCCAGACACTCTGCGCCAGGACAGCCAGGCAGAGGGATCAGACAGACTTGGTGTGTCGATGGGGTAGAAGGGACTACTGCGCCTGGAACACTGCCCACGGGGGTCTTAGGAAGGGGTGTGGCTGTGTCCATGTGCGGGTTGGGGTGGGGATGTGCCGTAGGTGGGGGCTCCATGGCTGCTGTGCCGTGGACCCAGGTCTAGGCGTGAAAAGGCCTTCCCAGTATGTGGGAAACTGCGGAGTAGAAGCAGGTGACGTGCTTGACTGCTCGCTGAAAGGCTGATGATTCCAGTCTGTCCCGAGGTGCTTCAGAAGAAAGGCCTGGCGATCGGCCATCGGAAACCACCTGGAGCACAGTTCTGCCCTGATGCACCCAGGTCACCAAGAGTCGGAGTGAGTGCCACAGCAAGTGGCATGCCATCCTCAGCGTGCCGCCCTCTCGGGGCAGAGCCTCTAGAGCCAGAAATCAGCTCGAGGGCAGTGGGCTTGGCTTTCCCAACAAGGTCTCAAGGAGTGGCACCCATGATTCCCATTTTACAGAACAGGAAACCGAGGCTCGGAGAAAAATAAGTTGCCCAAGGTTCCACATCAAGGTAGACAGCTGCTGAGCTGTGAGTATGTGTGCTTGCTCCAGCCGCCCAAGCCCAGGCCCTACCTCTCCAAGTCCAGCCCCTCCTGCTGCTGGCCAGAGTCCCTCCTCAGCTTGTCCTCACGGGACCAGTTCCATCCCTGACTGCATCTTTGCCCCGGGGACCCCAGCTGGCCCAAGAGCTTCCCACCTTTCAATCAGTACTTTGTTTTCCCCACCCCCTGATGGTGCTGGGCACCTCCCCTCTCTAGAACTGTTCTCGGCTTCTCTCACCTGGGTCTCCAGCTCCCTCTGGGGCTTCTCCCGATCCTCCTTCCCTAGGGAGGCCTCCCTGGCTCAGAACTCACCCTCCATCATCTGAGCCCTGGTGGTGAAACAGGTTACCCAATGGGCTGCCAAACACAAGGCCAGCAGTTCAAATCTACCAGCTACTTCCAACAAGGGTGAAAGAGGAGGCTTTGCGCCATTGAAGATTCTCAGCCTCCGAAACCCTGTCTTGGGTCTCTGTGGGTCAGAGGTCAACTAGATGGTAGTGAGTCAGAGATGTGGCCTCAGGCAAACTCTCTCCTCTCAGCTTCTCAGCCTTTCTCCTCAACTACTTGTCTCCCTTGCTCTCAGGTGTCCCTCAGTGAGTCTGTATTTCCTGTTCTCTGCTGGTAACCTCCTATTCAACCCTCATGACTCCATCCCAAGTTCCAGAGCAAATACCCATCCCTTCACCACTTGTTAATCACCACCCATGTGCTAGGCGCTGTTCTAGAGAGTGGGGAGTTAGTCACCCACTGCTGTCAATTCTGATTTACAGTAACCCTATGGGACAGGCTAGAACTGGCCCGAAGGGTGTGCAAGGCCGTAACCTAGGGGCTGCTCACCACCAGGCCTGAGTTCACACCACCAGCAGCTCCCAGGAGAAGAGGACAATCTTCTGCGCCGAGGAAGAATCACAGCCTCAGAAGCACAAGGCCGCTGGGAGTCGCGTGGACTCGGTGGCAACGAGTGCGAATCTGGACAGGAACAGATGGCCACATCTTTCTCCTGAAGGTCAGGGGTAGCATGTTAAGTGCTTAGCCACTGTGCCGCCAGGGCTCCAGGGATTTGCTCTCCAAAAACACTGCCCTCAAGTTGGCTCAGACTCAGAGAGACCCTGGCACAGGGTAGACGTGCCCCGGTGAGTTTCCAAGTCTGTAACTCTTTCACAGGAAGAGAAAGTCTCATCTTTCTCCCAAGGAGCTGCTGGTGGTTTCGAAGTGCTGACGGTGCGGTTAGCCGCCCACGGTGTAACCACTGCGACACCAGGACCCCTCCAGGCATGGATGAGTGGCTCTTGAAAACAAACCTATTGTCATCAACTCAATTCCAACTCATGGCGGCTCCATCTTTCAGAGAGGCCTAGGCAGCAGATTTGCCCAGCACAGTCAGTAGGCCCCTCCCTGCCTGACTGCCACGCCCATGGCTCTGGATTATGCAGTACGTCAAATGCAGCCATTGGGAATTTCAGTCTTTTCTACATGTATCATGCTACTGCACACCGGCTCAGAGGGGGGACTTTTGTTTTAGATATACAGTACTCCAGCTCACCGCCCACGCCCACGGGTGGTTCCATCTCCTAGCAGCCCTGTAGGATGAAGAGTGATCCTTAGGGGTCCGAGGCTGTACATTTTCAAGGGAGTAGACTAGCTCATCTTTCTTCCATGGGACGCCTGGTGGGTTTGAACTGCCGATCTTGTGGTGAGCAGCCCGACGCTTACAAGCGGAATGAAAAGATCAACGTGGGTGAAGGGAGACAGAGGACAGATTAAGATATGAAAATAATAATAATTTATAATTTATCAAGGGTTCATGAGGGTGGGAGGGTGAAGGAGGGAAGGAAAAAAAGAGGAGCTGATACCAAGGGCTCAAGTAGAAAGAAAATGTTTTGAAAAGGATGATGGCAACCTATGTGCAGATGTGCTTGATACAATGGATACATGGGTTGTTATAGGAGCTGTAAGAACCCCCAATAAAATGATTTATTAAAATTAAAAAAAGATAATGGGATTTTCCCAAGGACTTTTTGAAGTCCCCTTGGATATGTGTGTGTGTGTGTGTGTATACACAAAAGCCAGAACCTGTCTAAGATAGACATCTGCTAGAGGAGAAAAACTAGAACATTTTCTACTGCTAGAAACGCCGCGAGACTGTACTCTGCCAACGGCGGACAGTCTGTGCCACACGGAAATCAAGCCTGCCCCACGGAGTCCCGGGTGTTACAGGTTTCACCGTGGATGCTCTTACCCGATGTCTTACTTAAGTAGTCAAATAATCATAAAATAAAAGTTAATTTAAAATAATATGACCCAGAAAAGATATCTCAGTGCCAAACCCTCAGAGGGTACGTTCTTCAAATTAAATAAAGCAACCAACTATGGATGCGCTCTCTGACTTAACACAGGGACATGAATTCAGTTGCTGAGCGGGGTCTAGTGCAGCCTTGGTGGCTCACAGAGTCCCATAAAGAAGTTCTCTAAAGACCTCCAAACTCACTGCCATCAAGCCACAGTGGGTTTCTGAGACACTGTTGCCTGGAGTAGAAAGCCCAGTCTTTCTCGCTTAGAGCTGCTGGTGCTTTTGAACTGCTGACCATGTGGATCACAGGTCAAGTCGGAACCACTAAGCCACATTAGAAAATCCTAAGAAACGAGAACTCTGGCTTTGTCATGTTAATTTGAATATTCTGTCTTTTAAAAAAAAGAGGATTAAATTATTTATTTAAGCAGGTTTTAGCAGATACACAGCTCTTCTCGCCTTCGGACAGTTTTCGACCTCTGAGCCCCAGCCAGCTTTCCAGGGGCACTTCTTGTTTGGCCGAGCACAGATCGTTAGGATCCGGGTGGCCTAGGGCAGGACATGGTCAAGGGCTGTTCCTCCAGCTTCAATTCCACAGGGCCAGATGGTCTGAGATCCACAAACGCCTGCAAACAGCGGAGGAGTCTACGACCCCGAGCCCATGAGAGAGTCCCAGGTGGCGCGCGGGTCCGGCACCCAGGCCTCTGCCTGCAGTTTAGAGCTCCTTTTCCCGAGAACTGGAAAAGCTGCCACGGCCGGGTCCCAGGTTCCCAGCGGACGGTTATGCTATGCTTGCGCACCCGGCGCCCGCGAGTGGCCCACAAAACTACAAGTTCCAGCATGCCCTCTGTCATAGACTCCCTCGGGCTGCCCAGCCTCAAACCACGTTCCAGCTCCCCATTGGCTTGCTAGCCTAACGTGCTCTTCCGCGATTGGCTGGAGCTGTTGTCGCTCGTGACAGCCCATTGCTGAGGCTGGCCGCCTGGAGCCTCTGAGCTGCCAAGGAGATGGGACACCACTTGTGCAGGATGGGGGTTGCTTGGCCAGTGAAACCCCCGCGCTCTCGGCTGCGAGGACTTGCTTTTTACGGCGACAACAGGCTTTGTGGGCTTCCGGCCGGAGGCCATTAGACGAGACACCGGAAGGCGGAAGTGCTGGGGCGGAAGTGGCCGGGAGAAAAGGAGAATGGCGGCCGGAGACTGGTTTTGGCGCTGGGGCTGGGGCCGGCGTTGCCTGGGAAGGCCTGGGCCTCCCGGCCCCGGCCCCGGCCCCACTACACCCCTACTTCTTGTCCTCCTCCTGTTGCTGGGGTCAGTGACTTCAGATATAACTGATGGCAACAGTGAACACCTCAAGCGCGAGCATTCGCTCATCAAACCCTACCAAGGTGAGGCCCGGAGCGGGAGTGAATTAAGGATCAGGGCGAGGGGCTAGTGGAGTGCCGTTCCTGCGGTGTCCTACCCCCAGCAAGGCCATCGTGGCCTAGCCTCTTAGGCAGCTGCCTGCCGGCTCTCTGTTCACAGGGGTCGGTTCCAGCTCCATGCCCCTCTGGGACTTCCAGGGCAGCACTATGCTCACGAGCCAGTACGTGCGTCTGACCCCTGACGAACGCAGCAAAGAGGGTTCTATCTGGAATCACCAGGTAAGTGGTTCCCACACGAATAAAAGGGTCGTGTAGTCGGCCACCACACCTCCACCCGCGCTCGCTTTGGCGCCGCATCCGCTCCATTTGGCCACACCCACCGGCGGTCAAAGATAGTGGCTAGTGAGCAGTCGCTGTGTTTTGACACTTTACACCCATCTCACTCTTTAAAAACCTGTCCGACGTAAATGATGCCAGCTCCTTTTTACTAAGAAGCTGATAATCAGCGCTGAGCGTCTTGCTCTAAAGTCCTGCGGACCAGTGAGGAGGGGAGCGCTTCCCTGGCTGTCTTGAGTTGACCCCTCTCAGTAGTGGGAAGAATTGTGTCTTTACTGGGTAATTGCGTCGAGTTGGGCAGTGACCTTGACCTGCCTTCTCGAATTGCCTTCTCAAACAAGTTGTTTACAGAGATGGCCATCGTGACTTTTTACAAAGATCACGCAGCTGGTGAATGGTCCCAGTCCTATGTCTTTGCTGATCTGTCTGCTGTCCAAGCCCAGCACTACACAGCACACACCCTTCCCCCCACCCCCGCTCCCTTCCTTTCCCTGGTCAGTAGTGGAACGCCTTAGAAATATCTTGTACGTTCCAGTGGTTGAGGGTCAAATCTTAGGTGATTTGGACAGGATGGGCTTGGTTAGTTTCCCTCTGATGCTATTAGCAGATGAGAGTTCCAGTGATGAGGCCAGAGAGCCTGAGGGACCTCCTAGACTCCGTCCCTTAGGAAACTAGGTGACAAAAGGGTGAAACAAATCTAAGTTAGGATGGGTGGAAGGTAAGTAACCTCCGGCTGAGTCACACTTTGGGTAGGAACCACTCTACCTCTGCCCACCTAATCCCAGCTCCTCCCACACTGTAAGCTGGTGGCCAGTGTCCCGTTTTCTCTTTCGCCTTGGCCCTTGGCCCTTTCTGGTTGGCTAGTTTTGGGGAGGGAATGCAAGCCAACAAAGCCCTTGTGTTGCCTCATCTGCCCATTTCTTCAGCTCCTCCTCCTCCTGCGCCTCCACACTGCTGCTCGGGGCATCTGGGGTTACTTTTTTCAGCTTTCTCTCTGATCCTCAGAGCCACGAGTCTCATGGGAAGAAATAAGCGTGCATTATGCTTGTACAATCTGGCCTCTAAAGCCTGTAATCATTCTCTTGGTGAATTTTGTGCCAGTCTGCCTGGCTGCCTTCTTGCCTCAGGACCCTTGCACTTGTTGTTCCCGCACTCTAGGACACTGTCTCCTGGTTCTTCATGCTTGCTTGGTTGCTCTCATCTGTTATGTCTCCGCTGGAGTGCTTCCCACTCAGAGAGTTCTTCATTAACTACCTCGTCTCCACCTCTCCCTCAAGTCACGTCTCTCACACTGTCACTCCTTAGGGCTTTCAGATTTTTTTTTTTTTAAGGTACAGGTAGTACTGGAACTCTTGGAAATACTGGGTTCAACCACAAGTATCAGACACATCACGTGCGTGGCTGGTGGTTGGCATTATCTGTGGCTCACGGGCTGGGGTCAGTCCCACCCTCCCATGTCACTGCTCCAGGGCTGCCTTTCGTTTTTGGCCCTGCTGATAGTCCCAAAGGAGCCTTGGTGGCATCGTGGGCTATATTACATGTTGGATTGCTGTCCTCAAGGTCACCAGTTCAAAACCACTGGCCGCTCTGAGGGTGGCTGGTGGGGGGGGGGGCTTTCTACTCCTGTCAACTGTTAAGAGTTTCAGAAACTCACAGAGGCAGTTCTACCCTGTCTTATAGGATCCTATGGGGTCACTGCGTCGCCATCAACCAGATGGCAGTGAGATTTGGATATGGGGATTCCTACAAGGCTTGGAGTGCTTTCCTACCATTCCTGAGAGAACTTGGCTAGGCTTCACTTTACAGTGTTGTTACCAGGCAAGAGTCCAGTGACTTGGGTGCCCCAGGTCAGAGATCCTGGGGTGCCCTGAGGAGGTTGAGAATCTTAGAGTTTCCTGCGGGGTGTTTTCCGCAAACCATCTCTTCCTTCACTGGTTTGGGGACATCTCTCCTCTCTGTCCCTTCACTCTCCGTCCAGGAGAGGCACTGAATTAGCAAGCACGCAGCACCTGCTGTCTCTGGGATAGAGAAGACACAGCTCCTGTATGTGGGGGCGGGGTGGTCCTCATGAAGGAGTGCCACATGCCGGCCCACCCAGGGCCACCAGGACGCCAGGTGCCTGGCGGCCAGCACACAGACAGGGGAAGCCGGAGAGGCCTCCGTCCTGAGGGGATTTGTGTCTTTGTGTCGGGCTCCAGCAGAGTGGTGGTTCAGTTTTTCGTGGTACTGTGCCCTCTGAAATGATCCCCTGACACTTTTTAAAAGTAGACATCTCAAATTGTTTATTACGAGTTTAAATGTTCGCTTGGCCTGTCGTTCCCAGCACGTTTTAAATGCTGACATTTTAAAATAAAACTGTTCAGCATTCAGAAACCTCTGCGGGGGCATCTAAAGAACACTGCAGTGTGATGTCCATTCTTGTAAGTCAGGTGAATAACACCCAGATGGACTGGTCCAGTCCTGTGGGCTGGAGCTTGATTTCACTTTATACACAGTGATTTATTTCATGCTTGAAAAATCTTACCTGGTGAGCCTGCCACATTTCTTTGCAATGAAAATAAGTATAATAATTTAAGCTTTTTAACCTGTTTGAGGATTTTTAGGTGGTAATGTTTTCTTCTAGATTGAGCTACTGTAAATTTTGCTTGTATGTAACCAATCCAAGTAAATATTCTGTACATCCGGCCCATTTTCTTTTTTTTTTTTT